TCGCGCCGAAGTTGGCGAAACCGACGATCTCATTCTCCGTCCATCCCCTCAGCCGACGCACCAGAGCCGCCTCCTCCTCGTCCACCTCACAGACGAGTCCCTCGAACTCGGCATCCAGCCCGTGCTTGGAGATCTTCGCCCGCATAATTTCGCGGAAGTCCTCCAAAGTCAGCAGACCGGCGTCGAGCCGCTGGAAGAGCCAGTAGAGATTGTAGCCGACCCCGGAGTCCATGTCGGCCATGATGTCCTTGCTAAATATTTCTTGAACCTCCGGGTAAGTCGGCAGACGGAGCGAAATGTGGGGGCGGCCGTCCTCTGGAGCCTCCTGGATGACGTGCTTCTCCAGCTCGGCAGTGTGTTCCTCAAGCTGCTTCTGAAGGCTGATGACGTGGGCCTGGAGCTTGTCGATCTCGGCCACGTGCCGATCATACTCCTCCGTCAAAGCCTTGGCATGCTGCTCCCCAAGCTCAAACTCTCGAGCCGCCCAGGCCGCCCTCTCCTTCCTTAGCTCCTCGGCCATCCTGGCCTGCGACCGAGCAGCCTCCAACTCTTTTTCCTTGGCCTTCGCCGCCTCGGCCTCAGCTAACACCAAGCGGTTCTCCAGCTCGGAGGCCCGCTTTGCCTTTGTCTTCAGGGAGGCGATCTTCCCCTGGCAGAGCTCGTGGTCGGCCTCCAGTTTGCGGTGGTCGGCCAGGGCCCTCTGGGACCGATCAGCAGCCTGGACGAGCTCGACCAAGGCGCGGGAGATTGTCCCCGCCGCGTGGTGAATGAGCGACGGGGTGGAGAGCTGGGTGGCGGCGGCCTGAGCAGTCGGGGTCCAAGCGACCAGCGGAAGCCGAGCAGCCCTGACCATCTCCTCCGGAACCCCGAACTGGTTGGGGACGACCACCCCCTCGGCCGCGCGGAGGTCCAAAAACCAGTCATCCGGGAAGCCGGGCAGGGACTTAGCGAAACGGGCCCTCCGCTCGGCATCAATGGGGACGAAGGTGCTCGCCCCCTCCTGATGGATGTGCGCGTCTTTCTCCTGGGCGAGACCCGAGCTTTCGGCCTCGGCGCCCTTCTTCTTCTTCGCCGCAGCCGGGCCCTCACCGCCCGCACCCGGGGCCTCGCCGCCGGTCGTGCCCGGTGCCTCGCGAGCCCGTCGCCTTGTCATGCGTGGTTCCGGTGCCGGAGCGCGAGGGGCCTGGGGGACAACAGGGACGGCGCTCGGCTCCGCAGGGGTCGGCACATCGGTAGCCTTCGGGGCCGGCTCCTTGTTGAGCGCCGCCCTCTTCTTGGCAAGATTCAGACGGCCGGACATAGCAGCTTTTGTTCTCGTCTTGAGCGGATTTGGATGCTTGCGGCGGTGTTTGTTCGCAGCCTTCACAGACTCGAATCCCTTGAGCCTAAGAAGAGGGTAGTAGACTGCAAAGAAAGTTAAGGGCGCGGTTAGTACCGAGCAGGCCGCGAAGAATAAAATGACCAACAAAGTGCCGAGCCGGGTTAAGAAGCTACCTGGTTCGAAAGATTTGTCGACAATTTCCGGGCTAAGGTTGTGATTGAGGAGGGTCTCTTCTTTGACGAGGGCGGAATAGCGGCGGTCCTCTTCGTTTCGCGCCAACAAGGTGCTGAGTCGCTCGGCCAGGCGTGGACTGAGTGCCGAACTGTGAGTATGGACTGAAAACGCAAAGTATGACCTGTTAGCACAAAGGAGAGCAAATCAGTTGGTGACGGATGTGAAAACAAAAACTTACGAGTATGAGAAATGAAATGAGTAGGTGGGTGCCGAATAGCGTCCGGGGTCCTCCACTCGCCGCCGACCCAAAACCAGTGCGGCATGTAGCCATGCAGGGTCTCGGGCAACTTGGCCACCAACGTCTTGTCGATGCCGGGCAGCACCGAGCTGTAGTAGTTGCCGGTCTCACCGGCGCGTTTAAAAGCGAACAGGGATCTCACTTCGTCGTCGGTGGGGTCGGCCCAACCCTCACGACGGTACATGACAATTAGGCTCATCAGGCGAGCAAACACTGTCGGCACATATTGACTGATGCCGACCTCAAGTCCGCTCAAAATATCGTTGAGAGCGCTGGGCAGGGGAAATCGAAGGCCTAAGTGGATGCTGTGGCGGTAGACCCCTATACAGCCCGGCGGCGGACAATGGATTCTCTCTCCGGGATAAGGTGCGAACAGCCGAACGCCGGGGCCGAAGTTGAACTTTCCCCTCAGCTGAGCCAAATCGGCGTCATCCAGGATCGACGCCGTGTTCCAGGCCGTCGCCTGACTCGGTGCTGCCCGAATCCGTTCAGGTCGGCGCCAGAACCCCGGAGGAACAGTGGTCACCTCCTCGAGAGCGGCGTCGAACGACGCGTCCCCTATGGGGACACGCTCCCGACCGCTGGTCTCTCCTTGAAGGGTCTCATCAACCAGATCTGGATCGACATCAGAGTCGGTGTCCAGAAAGTCAAGATCGACGTCGTCATCGTCAGCCGCAGCAAAAGGGTCCTGGTCGGCACCACCGCCCTCGCGTGGTGGCGACGAGGGAAGGTCAGGTTCGACGCCTCCGCCGTCGGAGGCGACTTCCACCGCCGAGGGGTCCGGCCGGACAATTGAGATAGGGACAGCGGTAAGGATGACGTCCGCCGGCCGGAAAGTCTCGGCGCCCTCACCGGCGGATTCGCCGCCATCGCCCGCAGATTTTGGGGAAGAAGACATAGCAAAAAAGGAAGAGGGAGAAAGAAAGGGTAAAACAAGAATTACCGAAGGAATCGCCGAAGATCGTTGCCGAAAAATCCTTGGGATATGCTCGGAAATCGCAGAGCTCAATAGATCCGAAAAGAGAAGCTTCAAAAGTTCTTGGGAAAAGTGATTAGAAATTCTGAAAAAGAGATATATATAAGATTCCCCAAACCAATCGGAAGGGGACACGTGGACGGGCCTTTTGAAATTCGAAAATCGAAACGGTTCCTCAAATAACCAGAGTGTTGAACAAGATAACCGTCGTCCCTTTTAGCCAACCGTTACGTCCGTTCGGAATGCTTGGCCCTTAGTCCGCCACGTGTCCTCCCATAATGTGAATGCGGTTAACACACGTCCATGACCGTTACGCCCCACGTTCCGTACTGCCAACATCTGCGCCCCCACGATTGCAAGTGCGGTGAAGATGCCGACCTTGAAGGGGACGAACACGGATTTGAGAGGTTAATACCGATTTGTTGGGTCCAGCTCGGATCCGATCGATCGAAGACGACCTCGGAAGAGGTCCGACGGACCTCACCCGAGCTCGGGGGCCTGTATGTTGATATCCGAGTCCGGCCCCCAATAAGAGGAGTCGGTCCAGCGTATCGATAGCTGAACAATGGCCAGGCTGAGTCATAGGTGCCGGTCAACAGAGTAGCACATGGGTGCCGAGCCGACCTAAAGTCAAAGTCATCTAGAACGGCGGGAGGAATAGACCCCGAACTCGGCACCCCATACGTAAAGATATGAGGTCGGCATTCCGTCGGAAGTCTCACCAAGACGGCCCCGGATAAAAACCCGATCTCAAATACAGTAAAATAATGCCACTTGTCTACAAATGATTGCCGATGGGACGTCTAGCTCAGCCAGAACGTGTCCGCATTTAATGCAGCCCACGTTCGCATTAAATGTATGGCAGGTAATGATTGGAGAATCCGGAAATTACTCTCAATCAGTCAGAGAAGCGCCGGTTTGTCCCGTTGAGCTACTGTACGACAAGACCGCTGAACAGTACCCAAACAGTGCCGCATTAAAGTCTCCTATAAATAGCAACCCCCTCATTTATTTTTGGGTTGTTGAAATCCCGACTACTCAAGCCCATATTTTCTCTCTCTAAAGAACTTGTAAGAAACTCTTGTAAGCAATATAAGTATATCGCAAGTGCCGACCTCGTACGAGAGGCCGAACTCGTGATCCATTAATAAAACCGTAATTAAACCGTATTTCCTTGTCTTTTCTCCGTTTTCTTTACATTATTTGACTTTTTAACCGTTGACCGGAAACGTCCGTCAACAAGAGTAAGATCGTTGCACGATAGAATCATTCAAGCATGAGCGTTGATTATGATCATTTCGGAAGTTATTATTCGAGGTAGGGATTTTCTACACCTTTATTTACTTTAATCGCATGATATTGTTATTAGAAAAATGCTACAAATACGTAATAAATGTACATAGAAGTGTACATAATACTCACATTGAGTGAGGTCCACTTAATTTTTTTATTTTTGGTGGGTCTCACTCAATGTGAATTTTATGTACAGTATTATGTACCCATTTCTCTTGTTATTATTGTATGTACATGTGGCCTTCTGGCGAACATATATATGGGCCAACCTGTCAATCTACTAGGTGCACTAGAGTTGTGCGAAATGTTATTGACCTTTAGGTCCCAATTACATTACATTGTTCCAATTCATGCTTAGATGACCAAGTAAACGCAACATATCAAATTTCCAATAACTTGTAGCTGAATAAATAAATTGACAAAATTAGCTTATAAATCTCCAAGAATTTATTATTTTAAAAGAAGCCTTTTGTTGTTGGTAGTTTCTCTGCATTTTTTTCTTTTTTTTTTTCACTTGTTTTTCAACTAAATTTACCTGACCATTATCTGGAATCCTATTCTTTAGCATTTACTTGACCCATTATCTCGAATCCTATTCACTAGCTTTTGCATCCGATAGTGCCCCATCGCATGGCACTTCTGAAAAAACACTAAAAAAATTAAAAATTAAAAAATAAGATAATAAAATTGAAGATTCCCCACAAACGTGGAAGAAGAAAGATCCAAGTATTACTGGCACAAATGAACCTCACTTTGTAGCATCAAATTTCAACAAAAGCACTAAGATAATAGCAAATTAAAGACATAGAATCTGATTCATCCTGATCAAACTGGAATATCAATCACCACACGAGCCTATATAATCACCATACCCTCTTAAAATCATCACTAGCAAAACCGAAAACTCGAAAAAAATCGAAAAAATCGAATAGAAAAAAATGCAGATGTACCCGGGAGCAGGCTTCAAGGAGCACCACTACATGGTGGAGAAAGACGACTACATGTTCTCGGACGATTTCCACTTCAACAAAAACTCGGCCATGCACTCGAACAAAGGCGAACACCTCAACTACGGTGGACCCAACCACAACATATTGCACCAACACCCGATGATGAGGCCCGTCGACCACAACAAGCCCAATCATAACATGCACCTCCCCATGATGAGGCCCATCGATCACAACAAGCCCAATCATAACATGCACCTCCCAATGATGAGGCCCGTGGACCACTGCAAGCCCAATCACTTTGGCTACAACAAGCCCAATCACTTTGGCTACAACAAGCATGGTGTTGGAGGAGGTAATTATGCCGAAACATTTTACGAGCAGCAGGAAGAAAAGCAGTTTTATGAGAACAGTTACGGGCAGTTTGACCGTGGGGCCCATAACCGAGTACCCGCCACGTGGGACTGCAAGGGGATCGACGACTAAGGGGCGTTTTGGGCATACACGTACGAGGTTTTTTTTGGCTAGTACACAAGACCAAGACCTCCTTAAAATTATTAATAAAAAAGCTTCTTTGTGTGTGGGGAAAATATAGAAAAGAAATGAGAATAAAAGAATTGCTAGCAGTGCCTTGTTGAATGAAACTTATATATAAATGTAACCAAAAAGCATAAATACTATTGATATTATTGTTCAACTGAATAATCTTTCTCTTAAATAACGAAAAAAGAAAAAAAAAATATTGGTGTTCTGTTTTGTGCTATATCTCTCATTCATGGTAGCTTATGTCTCTGCCCTGTGTTATTATTGGAAGGATCAATCCCGAGTGAACGGTAATAGGCCTTTTCGGCATTCTTCAGACGAGCGTCGAACATATTCCATTCTCTTCGACACCTCAGTCTCACCTAAACAAGAAACCAAATTTTCGATTTCAAAAACATTTTGTGGTGGATTAATTTTAAAACAATAAGGAATTATATTATGAAATAATCAATAATCACTAATAGTTTTCGCGTAAAATTATTCTAGCAGCTACATACCGATTCGTATGGTGATTTCCCATTCTCTACTTCTCCCTATCATCATAACATAACCAAATTAAAGCAAAAAAAAAGTGATCAATCAATGTAATTGCAACATATAATAATAAGTTACATTACATATCTAATATTCTTGAAATTAGGTTTGATGTTGTTTATAGATTGAACATCTTTTACCTGATTTCCCAATGAAGGTATAGTTTGGTGAACAATCCATTGAGAATCCACAACACCGATTTTTTCATAGGCAGGCTAAAAAAAAAGTCGAGGCACGTAATAATCATCAGCATACATACATAAGAATGAAAACAAAAGTTGAGTGACTAAAATGGGCAAAAAATGGGGGTAAAAATGCATAGTCCTTGTCGAATTATAGCAGAAAAAAAACTTACGTCGACACATTTTTGGAGGGCAAAATCGAGACCCCATCCGTGGACCAAGTCGTTCTACAGTTAACCGTGAGTAAGTAAATTTTTGTTCTGTTTGTACTCTCGGTAAAAAAAGTGTGTAATAATAATGAAGGAACGAAATTAGTTAATTAACTACCTGAATCATATGCCACACGCAACGCCATGCATCCCGAGAGAAGACAGGAGCCATGATTTCTACAAACCTATGTTTATAAATAGAAAAAAAAAAAAAATTCGAAAAGGGATAAATATAAATAAGTAAAATTATAAATAAAAATACGTACGCTGCACAAGGAGGCGAATGAGGATCTGAACACCAACCTGGCTTCTCCTCTGCTCCCCTAGAAGATGAAAAAACAGAACAAAAAAAAAATCGATAAGAAAGAAAAATGTGCATATTAATCGACCGGAATATAAACTGCACGAATATATTACTTAACCGTACATGTGAACTTCAGAGTCGGTTCGCCTTTTAGTCATCTGCCAAGGCATTTTCTTATTCGGCTCCAAACCGGGCTGCGAAATCTCCAAACCATATTTTCTGATAATCTTGATATATCTGCCATTTCAAGAAAGAAAAAGAAAAAAGAAGGATTAAAGAAAGTTTTGTTTTTGAAGCTTTTTAGTTTTAAGTTGAAAAATCGGTTAAGCTTAAATCTTAATTACTCTTCAGCATCAAAATGCTCGGTTCCAAGATCCTCGTCCCAAACAAATATATAGTCATAAGGGGCTATAATGTCCGGATGTAGAAATCTTTTCGCGTACCACCTTTTTTTTTTACAATATATTCAACACATACTAAAAATTATCAGCTTTATCGACAATTTCGTAATGAACAATCAAATAAAAAAAATGGAAATCTAAATTTTGTCCTGCCATTTAGTCTGTTTTCTTGCACTGATATGAATTGCTCGTTTGGACCATTCGAAATCGTCCCATTCGGTAGTTCTCCCATCGTAATGAAACAAAACAATCGTGAAATTATCTGAAAACTGCACGAAAATGCGAAACAACGTAAATAAAAGTAAAAAAGAAAAAAGAAAAAACAAATGCAGGGGACTCATTAACACGAAACGAGGCAAAACCAAACCTTTTTCACTGCCTTGTCGATATTGTTCCTTAGATCATAACCAACAGTAAAAGTCACCAGATATTTCGGCTTATTGTCCAAGTCCTGAGCAAGCAACAAGGGATC